TCGACGACTGGCTGGTTTGGGCTCCCAGCCAGTCAGCTTGCTTGCTAGCCAGGGATTTGGTTCTTTCCCAGCTCGCCGGGTTCGGGTTCTTGGTGAACTGGAGGAAGTCCCATCTGGTTCCCTCTCAGGTTCGGACATGGCTGGGTCTCGTGTGGGACTCTCGAACCGCCTCCTTGTCTCTCCCTCCGGAGTCTCTCCTGCGGCTGCGGTCCCGCCTTCGTCTGTTTCTGGAGGGCCCTCGGGTCACCCGGCGGTTGCTCGAGGGGCTGTGCGGGAGCCTGAACTTCGCGATGGTGGTCTACCCGCCGGGTCGGGTTTGGCTTCGACGGCTGTTCTGGTTCCTTCGGGGTTCCCCCTTCCGCCTCTCTCGCGATCGCAGAGTTCGACCCCCGGGGGACTTGCGTCGGTTGCTGCGTCACCGGCTTCCTCTTCGGGTTTTTCGGGGTTCAGTGCCTTGGCGCCTACCCGAGCCCTCGCTCGATGTGTACACGGATGCGTCGTCTCGGCTGGGGTTTTGTGACCAGTGCTCACCAGGCCGGCCAGGGGCGTTGGGATCCGTCCTTCCGTCGAGCTCACAGTACGGTGCGGGAGTTCGCGGCAGTGTGGTTTGCTCTGGGGAGGATTCGGGTGGCCCGCGGATCGACGATTCGGCTCCATTCGGACTGCTCTCCGGTGGTTCATTGCCTGAACCGCGGGGGTTCGATGCGGTCCTTGTCTCTTTGGGGTTGGTCGCTTCGGGTGACTCGTCTGCTGAGTTCTCGGGGTTTGGCTCTCCTGGCGGTTCACGTACGGGGCGTGTCCAACGTCTTGGCCGACGCCCTGTCTCGCTTCGTTCCTCTCTCCACGGAGTGGACGGTCGACGACGAGTCCTTCCTTTGGCTTTGCCAGACGTTCGGGCGCCCCGAGGTGGACCTCTTCGCGTCGGCGTGGTCGCGGCGTCTTCCCGTTTATGCGGCGCCCTTCCCCGATTGCGAGGCCGTCGGGGTCGATGCCTTTCGGCTCGACTGGACGAGGTGGGGGTTCCTGTATCTCTTTCCCCCGGTTCGGCTGTTGCTCCAGGTCCTGACTCGCTTAGAGACTTACCGGGGGAGAGTTGTCCTTCTGGCCCTTTGGTGGCCGGCCCAGCCTTGGTTTCAGGCGCTGGTTGCTCGGTGTCCAAACCCGAGGGTTTTTCCCGCGGCTCCGCCTCTTTCAGCAGATCGGGCCGGTACGTCACGTAGCTGGTTCGATCTTCTCCTCGAGTCTTCGCGTATGTTTTTTTTGACTCGAGTCTATCATCATCTCTATGGTGATCAGGTGGCCTCCTTGTTGGTGTCCCACCTGAGGGCTTCTTCTCGGCGGCAGTATGCAGTTTTCCTGGCGGTCCTTCCGTTTCTTTTTGCGTCTTCATCGTGTTAGCTCCTTGACTGTTCGGGTGGTCTTGTCCTTCCTCTCGTGGTTGTTTCAGGACCGTCATCTTATGCCTAACACTGTCGCTTCGTATCGTGCGGCGCTGGCGGAGCCGCTTCAGCTTGCTTTCGGTATCGATGTTACGTCTGCGCCGTTTCGCAAGCTGTCTCGTGCATTGTTTCACCTCCGGCCTGCTCATGCGTCGCCTGAGCCGTCCTGGTCTTTGGACAGAGTGCTCGCTTTCCTTTCATCTCCTCGTTTCGTTGTGGCCCCTTCGGTCCAGGATTGTTTTTCCAAGGCACTTTTCTTGTTGGCTTTGGCCTCTGGGGGTCGGGTAGGGGAGCTTCATGCTCTCCTCCGGCGCAGGGGTTTCTGCTCTTTTGGTCGTGGTGATAGTTTTGTTCGTTTGCAGCCGTCTCCTTCTTTTCTGGTGAAGAATGAGACTGCTGCGTTCCGGAGGGGTCCATGGGTGGTTGATGCTTGGTTGGTCTGGCCGGGGGTGCATCATGTTTTGTGATCGGCGGTTGCAGCCAGTTGTCTCGGCTTCGAGTTGAGGGGTGAGCGACGACCGCCTCCCGGGTAAGTCCCTCTTTTTCTGTCTGTGGGTAGTTAGCTCCGGGGAGCCGACGGGGCTCCCCCCAGAAAACCAGCGTTGAATGTAATGAAACGCCATTTTCTGGGTGAGTCCCGGAGGCTCCCCGGCATCCCTCCCTCCCTCCGGTCGGCGGTTTTTCGCGTTTTTGACATCCAGCCTCAAGAACTGAGGTGTGGGTAGCCGGCGCGGGGGGTCTGGGGCTCCCCCTTCCCCCTCCCGGGGAGGGGGGAGCTGCGCAGACAGCGGCGCGGCAGTGTGTGACGTCACACTAGTTTGCTTGTTTTCGGTTGGGGAGTTCTATCCACTAGTTCGGTTTTAGGTAGCAATTTTAACCAGAATAGGGGTTTGTTTTGGGGCGCTTACCTTTCTGGGTGCCTGTTCCGGTCGATGGCAGACATAGAATGCTTCCACTAACACGGGGGCTTCTATAGGCCATTGCTCCCCTTGCCTCTCTGAGGGGGCCCGGTTCTGGCCGTGGTCCCCGGTAGGCCTAAGAACTCCATACACATGACTGATGCCAAAGTCTGACATTAGCATATCAGCCTGGGATAGCTCCGGGGAGCCTCCGGGACTCACCCAGAAAATGGCGTTTCATTACATTCAACGCTGGTTTTTTAGGTCTGGATAGACAGTCAACCCAACCATCTTTTTCCTGTAGTATCTCTCTGGCTGTCATCAAGACTAAGTAGATTTGTTACACAGGATCTTCCAGTTCGAAAACCATATTGTTTGTCTGTTATTATGTCATTACTCTCTAGGTGTTCAACCCATTTAGCTTTAACTGTTTCTAGTGTTTTGACTACCACGCTTGTTAGTGACACGGGTCTATAATTTAGAGGTTCCTCTCGACTACCATTTTTAAGTTTAGGTGGGGTGAGGTTTTGAGCGTGTTTCAGGTATTTTTGGCCAGTTCTTCTTTTGAAATACAGTACATGTACTCAATAACTGCTTGTTTACTCTCAATCTTTCCCAGGGTGTGGTTGATAAAGCTTCATGCCCAGGTACCTAAGCTGTCTCCAGCCCTCGTGGCAGATGACTTGAGGCCTTGCTCACGCTCGGTTACAGTCGTCCGTTTTCTTGCTACTTGACGTTGTAGATTCACTTAGATCAAGGTCAGGTGCAGTTGCCTTGCTGCCTGCCATGGCAGTTTCAGTGATCTGGCCTTAAGCTAGTTATCTTCTTGAGATGATTTCGGGCTTTAGTGTCCCCACGGCTCGGTCCTCGACCAGGCCTCCACCCCCAGGAAGCAGCCCATGACAGCTGACTAACTCCCAGGTACCTATTTACTGCTAGGTAACAGGGGCATCAGGGTGAAAGAAACTCTGCCCATTGTTTCTCGCCGGCGCCCGGGATCGAACCCGGGACCACAGGATCACGCGTCCAGTGTTCTGTCGCCTTAGTCACCGGCTCATGTGTGCACCCATGTTGCAGGAGGCAGTTGCTGCATTCTACTCTGTCCGTGTTGCGTGTCATCAGACTATGTTGGCCCAGTCTTCAGATTCAGCGTGATTTTTGTCCCTTTTCTCTGAATCTTTTTTTTTTCTCTCTCCAAAGGATGTGGTTGTGCAGTTTTTGTCCTCAGCAAGGGCCAAGCCATTTTTGCTTCATCCAGAATGAGGCTTTTCATTACACTCGACGCTGATTTAATTATTCCATGTACCATATAATATTTTGCGCATACTAGTGCCATGAATATACATTTGTGTGTATATATTCGTTCTGCAAGTTTTATTATAGAAATTTCTCATGTTACACACTATTGCATAATACAACTGCAAGATACCTGTACAAGCAAAAATACAAATCAATGGCATGAAATAAATCGATATAAATAAATTCTCTGTAACTACAATCACCTTCTTGGCTCAGGTGACCTCTAGTTAGTTTAGTTCATTTATTATGCACCCCATACCCATCCCGTGGGCAGTAGTGGAAAGGGTTACAGAGGCACATAATGGGCTCAGGGACTGAACCCCACAATTCATTTAGCTAAGCAAGTTACAATCTTGATGAGCTGGTTAAAAAATTCAACGCACATCGTCACATCAACAATGGGCTCGAGACTGACCACAAGTACAGTTCCTAATATAAGCAACTGACATATGTGGAGAGCTAGTGTTACAATTGATATGATTGTCCAGCACACTGCTCATACCCCTCCCCCTCCCCCCATCCAGTGGGCAGCAGTGGATAGGTTACAATTCCCACAGGGTGTTTCGTCCATCGTATAGCATGAATCGGTGACATCATCAATAGATTTCTTCTCTCCACCAGAGTCAAAGTAAGCTACATAATTTTTATCTTTTATTTTCCTGTGAACAGAATAACAATATTATAAAGAAAAGAAAATTTTGGATTTTTTTTATCATGTGCACCAAGGGATTGTGGTATGAAAGTGGTGCGGAGTGCAGGGGATAAAGTAATATTATGGGTCATTACAAATGTCCTTCCTTCTCCCAATGAAACTGTGAGCTAAGAGCAGATCTGTCCTACGTCGGCTTACTTCAAGTCTGATCCTAAATGCTTAATTATTTGATCAGATTATTATTTGTTCCCAGTCGGAATAAACCTTAAAGTTAGTCACGTTAGTAAGAGGCTGAAGGTGGGGGAACTGAAGTTCACATGATTGTGTGTGTTTGGCGAAAATGTTCCAAATGAAAGTCTGTCTAGAACTTGAGAACATTTGCGTTAGACATTACAAGTGAGGCTGCTTACCTCTCGCTGGCATTGAAGGTCCTAATATACTGACCAGTCCAACCATACCAAGACTTAAGAGATTTTGAGATGTTTAAGACCAAGACTAGACTAAGAGATGTCTAGAGTTGAGATAAATGATAATGGGGCATCAGTCTGAAGAGAGTACTGCATGCTCATGGTGGGAGCAAACATGTAGCCTCATATATTTTATCAATAAAACAGGAATTGATGCTAGAAATGTATCCCGTGTTTATTATTATTTGTGCAACATTTTATTTTATTAACAATATTTATTTCTTTGTTTACTTTGTGACTACAGGTGAAAGTGGCATTTGGTGGTGTATGGAAGGAGAGCTTAACAGAGTTGAGTGGTGGGCAGCGCTCCCTGGTTGCACTCTCACTCATCTTGGCTTTGCTGCTCTTTAAACCGGCTCCTATTTACATCCTTGATGAAGTAGATGCTGCCTTGGATCTCTCTCATACTCAGAACATTGGCAACATGTTGCGAACGCACTTCAAACACTCTCAAGTAAGCTCATAGCTTTTATATTTTTTTTCCACAAAGTTAGAAGATCAATCACTTATTTGCTGATTCAGTGATCTACCACTCTTGTATAGATGGCCTCGCGTCTCCTTGCTATAAGACCGACGATGTTATGTTTGGGATCCCAGTTTCAATAAATTTTGTGTCTTTCTTTATATATGATGTACTAGAGAATAACTTTCCATCTTACATTGATAAAATAAAAATATCAAGGTATCACTAATGTGTTGTAACAAGATAATAGCAGACACTTGTGGTGCCTCTTGCTCCTTGATCTGTGAGCTTCTCGTAGTACTTGCAGTGACCACCTGGGTGTTTAGCACGCCATTAAACAGTCTTGATCACTAAGTGGGCCCGGTACTTGACCTGGTACAAAGTGGGCCAGGTACCCATTGCTTGACTCACGATTAAACAACATATATTTGTAATGTTATCGATTCCTGTTCCTCCCAAGTGTGGTTGCCCTGTGCCTGGCCGCCACCCCCTCCCCCCGTGCCTGGCTGCCACCCCCTTCTCCGTGTCTGGCTGCCACCCCCCTCCCCCGTGCCTGGCTGCCACCCCCCTTTCCCTGTGACTGGCCGCCACCCCCTCCCCCGTGACTGGCCGCCACCCCCTCCCCCGTGCCTGGCCGCCACCCCCTCCCTGTGCACAATCTCTCCACCCAAGGCTGCTGGGAAGAGATGCAGTAACAGGTAAGTGATGGTGACACAGCATGCCATATGTTCTGTCACCACTAAACATTGCTCAAAGTTTCAGAGTGGTGGTGATGGCATGTAGGGGCCTGACAGCTTCCTGGTTGATACCTGGTTGATACCTGGTTGATGGGGTTCTGGGAGTTCTTCTACTCTCCAAGCCCGGCTGAGGCCAGACTTGATTTGTGATAGTTTGGTCCACCAGGCTGTTGCTTGGAGCGGCCCGCAGGCCCACATACCCACCACAGCCTGGTAGGTCCGGCACTCCTTGAAGGAAACAATCTAGTTTCCTCTTGAAGATGTCCACGGTTGTTCCTGTAATATTCCTGATGTTCGCTGGTAGGACATTGGACATCTGTGGACCTCTGATGTTCATAGTGTGTTCTCTGATTGTGCCCATGGCACCTCCTCTGCTCTTCACTGGTCCTATTCTGCATTTTCTTCCATGTCGTTCACTCCAGTACGTTATTATTTTACTGTGCAGATTTGGGACCTGTCCCTCCAGTATTTTCCATGTGTATATTATTTGGTATCTCTCTCGTCTCCTTTCTAGTGAGTACATTTGGAGAGCTTTGAGACGATCCCAATAATTTAGGTGCTTTATCTCGTCTACGCGTGCCGTATATGTTCTCAGTATTCCCTCAATTTCAGCAATCTCTCCTGCTCTGAAGGGGCAAGTGAGTACTGAGCAGTACTCAAGACGGAACAACACAAGTGATTTGAAGAGTACAACCATTGTGATGGGATCTCTGGACTTGAAGGTTCTCGTAATCCATCCTATCATTTTTCTAGCTAACACAATACTTGCTTGGTTATGCTCCCTAAACGTTAGGTCGTCGGACATCATTATTCCCAAATCCTAGACATGCTGTTTTCCTACTATGGACAGATTCGATTGTGTTTTGTACCCTGTATTATGTTTAAGATCCTCATTTTTGCTGTATCTGAGTACCTGGAATTTATCACAGTTAAACATCATGTTATTTTCTGCTGCCCAGTCGAAAACTTTGTTAATATCTGTTTGCAGTTTATCAATGTCTTCAGCAGAGGTAATTTTCATGCTGATTTTTGTATCATCTGCAAAGGATGACACGAAGCTGTGACTTGTGTTTTTGTCTATATCTGATATGAGAATTAGGAACAGCATTGGTGCAAGGACTGTACCTTGAGGTACAGAGCTTTTAAATGCACTCGGACTCGATTTTACTTGATAGACTGTTACTCTTTGTGTTCTGTTCGACAGCAAATTGAGCATCCAGCGTCCTACTTTATCAGTTATACCCATTGACCTCATTTTATGTGCAATCACTCCATGGTCACATTTGTCGAATGCCTTTGCAAAATCTGTGTATACGACATCTGCATTATGTTTTTCCTCTAATGCCTCAGTGATTTTGTCATAGTGGTCAAGTAGCTGTGAGAGGCATGATCTTTCTGCTCTAAATCCATGTTGGCCTGGATTGTGGAGGTCATTGGTTTCCATGAATCTAGTGACCTGACTCCTGATCACTCTCTCAAATACTTTTATTATGTATGACGTTAGTGCAACTGGTCTATAATTCTTTGCCAATGCTTTGCTACCACCCTTGTGTAGAGGGGCAATGTCTGCTGCTTTAACCTCTTTCAACTGCGCAACGTGCCTGCAGGCCCAGGCTTAGGGTGCGCAACGCGCCCCCGGGTGTTTTTATTTTTCACGTTCCATTCAATACTCCCACGGCTACATGGGGTTCACATCAGCTTCCTCAGGGCTCTTGTAAACAGACACCATCTTTACAAAAAAAATCATGGTCCACATTGCCGGGTGTCAGAGCCTCAGTAGTGAGTGTGCAACCAAGGCTGGCGTTCGCAGCATGAGCGCACAGCACTGCTGTTCAGCGTGTGACCACAGCATCACCTAATATTGTCAAAATATATATATAATCTGTTTTATTTAGCCATGATAGTATTATAGAAGAGCCTGAGTGTGATAATGACTGGGTACAATGTTCAAATATCAGTGATTCAATGCTGTTCACAGCACTAGCCACAGCACCATAGCATTATTTCGTCCATCTAGGAATATTCAAACGACTTTTTAGGTTCCTTTTCAAAATAAACTTGTGGTCGATTATTCATTTACAGGAATTGGTGACCAGGATTATGGTTATAATGAGCGTTGTGCGTAGGAAGGAGAAATTTTGGCGAGGGAGGGAGGAAGGAAGAGAATTGAGGTAGCCTCACTGTGTGGCAGTAACTCTTGTTTTGCTCACCATACTAGCTTCGTGGTTCGCTATGGGGAACACACATGTACATGGGTATAACAGTGTGTGTGGAATAGTGTAATAACAGCACCAGGAGTATGTTATGAAGAGCTATTTTGGTGAGGGAGGTGACGTAGTAATCGTGGCGTCGTCTGCTGTCTTCTGTGTGATTTGTCATGCAGTGTATGGTGGCCACTATACTGTTTGGACACAATACCGGCTTACTTGCATAGTTCTGGTAAACAAAACATGTAGATAGGTATATATAACGTGTGTAAATTGTGTAATAAATACAATAACAGTATGGTGGGAGGAGCAATATTGGCGAGTAAGATGTTGGAGTGAGGGAGGGCTGGCTGGGTGTGGCTGCTCACACTCGTGGTGTTCTGAGTGTGTTGATGGTGAATGTATATAGTGTGTGGCAGTGCAGAGTGTGTACATATGTTGTAAATATACATAAATGAACATGAAACATTGGTGTGAATAACTGTATGATTTGGAGGAGCAATGTTGGCGAGTTGGAGGAGTGAGGGAGGGCTGGCTGGGTGTGGCTGCTCACACTCGCGGTGTTCTGAATGTGTTGATGGTGAATGTATATAGTGTGTGACAGCGTATAGTACATAGATTGTACATATACATAAATTAGCATGATACATGGTAAATATGTGCAACATATGTGTACACAAGTGTCATGCACGTAACAGTGTCTTCGGACAGTACGGATGTTTTACTGCCATAATATAGTGTACATGTTCATTATACATAGGATTAGCATGTAAAAACAAATAAAATGTATTTGGAACTGTGCGCAAAAAATGTGCAAAAATATATTCGCTGCAACTCGCGCGCCCCGCCCCAAGCGCCCCACCGGCTCCGGGTGCATACTGCTCTGGCCCACGGGGAATTATGACGTCACGGCCCACCTTTCGGACCCCATAGCAGCCAAAGTAAGTACAATTTCGAACTTGCGTTGCTATACCCATATACAGGGAGGGGGGTTTTTGACACTTTCCGAGGAAAAAATCATTTTTTCCCAAGGATTCATTTCCTGCGCACTGGGGGGGGATGTCATATTTATAGGCCGTGCAGTTAAAGGGTTAAGCACATCTGGTATCTCCCCTGTGTCCAAGCTCTTCCTCCACACTATACTGAGTTCCTGTGCTACTGACACTTTGCATTTCTTTATAAATATTGAATTCCATGAGTCTGGACCCGGGGCTGAGTGCATGGGCATATTGTCAATTTCTCTTTCAAAATCTGCCACGCTCGTTAAAGAATTTACAGGTGTTGTCCGAAATTGTCCGAATCTTCCACTTTCATGCTGTTTATCGGAGTGTTAAACATGTCCTCATACTGCTTTTTTAGGATTTCACTAATTTCTTTGTCATCCTCCGTGTATAAACCTTCACTAGTACGAATAGGTCCAATACTGGCAGTGGTTTTTGCTTTTGATTTAGCATATGTGAAGAAATATTTTGGGCTTTTTCTTTATTTCTTGAATTGCTTTCTGTTCTAGTTACCTTTCTTCAGTCTGATAGGAATGATTCAGTCTCTGTTCGATTTCTTCAATCTCCCTGTTTAAATTATGCCTTCTTTGTATGGAGAGTCGTGTCTGCTTGAGCATTTCCGTTAATTTCTTCCTTCTTTTGTAATGTCGTCTGCGTTCTCTTTCTACATTGGACCTCTTTCTGGCTTTCCTCAAAGGAACATGTTTCAGATAGACTTCATATGCTTCAGAAGTCAGTTTTTCTATTCCTTGTGTAGGATTTATACTACTTAGAACATTTTCCCATATAATGTTTGTAAGTTCCCTGTTTATTCTATTGAATAACCCTTCTCGCTTGTTGTTTCACTTGGGCCTATTACCGTTATTAATGTTAGTTTGCACTTCAATGAGTTTGTGGTTCGAGTATGTAGTGTCTGAGACAGTAATGTCTCTGATTAGCTCATCATTGTTCGTGAATATCAGGTCCAGCGTGTTCTCGTTCCTAGTTGATTCTGTAATCTGCTGACTGAGCAAGAATTTGTCACAGAATCTCAGTAGTTCTCTGAC